CACTGGTATATGTTTTCTACTATATGCTTTCATTTGGCTCACGAACTAGGCCTTTCGTGGACGGACTCGAATGGGAGATGAGACGGAAGGAGTGCTTCTTCCCTGAAAAAGTCAAACTACTTGCTTCTATTTTGGGAAGTTTGTCTCACTGTATCAAAAGAGAGGTATAGAAATGTAAGAACAATCGGAACGCTCATATATGTTCAAGCCGAAAAAACACTTTACTAATTACACACAAGAAACAACAAGTACTTGAGTATCTAAACAAGTGAATAATATCACTTGCTACAATCATATGATATCTACCTGGTACGAGAAAAGACAATAGATAGAAATGAGGTAATTGATTAACAAGAAGCACGACCACTAAAAATCTGATCGGAAAACGAGTGTGTGAGTAGATGGATGTTGAACTTCCACAAGCACCTCTTCTCCAAAGTGGTGTGCATGAGCCTGACTTCTCTTACTCTGTAAAAGCTCAAAATTTCCAGAAAGCATTATTATGTGTGTGTGTTCGATCTATATCGACCAATGGGCTAGGTCAAGTATGAGCAATGTTCGCGCTGGGACCACGGTTCTTCTGACCTACGCTACCTTTGTTTGATCTTAGCCACTGCTTTTACTTTATTGTAAAAAAGTAACTTACTTTCATAAGCGCAGTGCTTGGCGCATGTGAAGACCTGACGACCGTCACTGTCCGTTTTCATGATTTTGTGGCAGTCGGGGCATTTTTGTGCCGACAAAAAAGTCAAAGTGTTCCTTTTGCAATGGACCTTAAAAAATATGCGAAAAGAACCTGATTGGGCAGCATTGTGATCACCTCCACATCATATCTACGGCCTTCAAAGAGACGATTGATGAACTCTAGATCCTTCTCTAAATAAAGAGATCAGTTAAATCACAATCTACAGGTGGTAAAGTAAACGGTTACCTAAGCTAAATTCCTTTGCGGCAAGTTTAGCGCCGATACCCGAAGTGGAAGGATGGTCGTAACATTCGTGATCACTAAGTTCTTCTTCCTTGATTTCTTGAATCACGAATGCCTTGGGCTTCGGTTCAGGGAGCTTTGTTCCTTTTCTATGGGGTACGTTCTTCTCCTCAGCCGTCTGCACATACTTGAATGTCTTCTTGTTTTTCTTATGTCTCCCCATTTTCCTAAAATGCAGTAGAATACCGGGAATGTTACAGTATACGACTCCGTGAATAAGCGTATTGGTTATGTAGATGTAGAAATGTGAACTGACCTTGAGTGAGATTTACAGTAGTAGATTGTGGTGAGTGGTATGAGTTGATGCTAACGCACAATTACCCAGTTATTTCTGAAAAAATGAAAAATTAACATAATTAATAGCAAATGATCAATAGGAAAGACAGCCGGACCGGATCGAAATGGCTGCGTCTCTGGCTTCACTCTGCCTCACTCTGCCAACGCCTTACCTGTATAGACATGTTAAGTCCAGGATTTGACATGCGCGTCTCGAACTGCAAACTTCTCGAACATTCTGACCATCTATTGATTGCCATGTGGTCGTATTCATCAGATTCAACATTTTCCAGTGCTTTTTCTTCGTTGTGTTCGAGTTCTTAGTCTCAAATATCCTTCACATAATAGCCTGCGGGCACTTAGCATCACTGACTGCCCCTTTGAGCTGTGAAACAGTTCATATATGAAAATATTGTGTAGTGAAACATTTGTCACACAGTCATTTAGTTGTCGCTGTTTTTTTTTCCCTGTATAATGTGAGTGTGACAGTTTACTGTCATCTGCTCACGTTAACGACAGCAATCATTCTGTACAGCCGGGTGATCCCGATTGCAGAAAAAGTTTTTTTTAGATAAGTGATAATTGTTTTCACACTGAGAAGTTATGGGAATAATCGAGGAGCTGGAAGAGAACAAGAGTTTTGACGAGGCTCAATCCGTCAGTGAAGTATTCGAGGAGGAAGAAATGAGAGAGGAAAATGAGTCGGACTTGTTGGATCAAGATGCAGAAAAGGAAGATCAGCAAAGAGAGGAAGGAGAAGAGGATTCAATGGATAGTTACACACAAATAGTAATGAAATTGTACAACGAATACGTCAAAGAATGTAAGGAACCAGAAGCCATGGAGGAGGTACCACGAAAGGCGATAGAGATGGCGTTAAAAGAAACGCAAGAAGAGTATGAAATGCATGTCATGGAAGGTGTAGAAGAGCAAGGAAATGAAGTAGAATTTGTAACAGTAGTAGACGGATTTCAAGAATCTCTTGAAAAGTTTGTGAAATATGGGAAAACTGACAGAAAATGGTCGTACATGCGCCGCTCAATCATCGCTTATTTCAAGGTGGATCAACTCTTTTCCTAATATCTTAGCAGACATTAAAGAGCAAATATATTCAGATTATGGCTGAACAGTCGAACAGGCTTCATTCATTTTTTCCCAACTCTCGCTGCGACGCCGTGCAGGATAGAAAAAATCTAAAATACATAAACTATTTATGTACCAGGATTAGGAAGCTCAAATGTTCGCCATCCTCTCTCCACAGGTATGTTGCAAAAGAACATTAAGCTTTAAGAATCCGCTCTCGATGTGTCAGAAAAAAATGGAGAGGTGGACTTGTAATCTTCATTTCCAGTTTCATACTCATACACCAATAAAAATAGTCAAACTTTGTGCCAAATCAGACCCAAGCCGTTTCCGACTATCATAATAATTTCCGTGGTAGAGCCTTTTGAACAATCATCCAAAGCTGAATCACTGGACTTGGGGGGATTGGAGGAATTGAGCCTTCTTTTTTATTCAACGTGAAGTGAACTCCACCTAGAAATTCTGTAAGTAATGATGCTAGCCATTTCCGCGCTGAGGTGTTAAGATAGCAGTCACTCTATTTTTACAACAAAGCCAAATGGCAAATAATCTTCTGGACTATTCGTTACTTGAGGTGTAAACCGTACATTGGTAAGAAACCAGATTATGAACAAAAATTACCGCTGACATCAACATTTGCTTTCCACCCTCTCGTTTATTTTTGACATTTGACGAAAATTACCGTCCTCATAGGCAGAACAATGTTTGGTAGCATCAGGAAAAGTTATAGGTTGATTTTAGACTATGTGAATTGATTCTTCATCCCACACACTATTGCTCTTCAATCGAAGAGTTGATGTCGGAATTCAAGCAAGTCTCGAGAAATCTTAAGATACCAAAAAGGAAAAAGCAGACGAAGAAAGTGAAAGTGAACGGAAGGCTGCAAGAAAATAAAGAATCTGGAAAGGAACAAAGCACTCAACTAATAACAACTGGTAAGAATGACTCCTTTTTAACCTCAAACAAGGAAAATCTTTTCGATGTAACAGCGGAAGAACAGTGCACGGGTGAATCCACACCCAAGAAGTCCCCTCTGCTCGCTGTACAGGCGGCAACTGT